GCGTGAGTTGAAGCTACCAGGTCTGGGACTTGAACCGTGGTCGATCACATGGGAGTCCAGCGACATAGCCATTGCGCCAACTGCTAGTCCCAAGAGTAGCCATCTTTACATTGTTTCAGATGTTAGAGGAAAACCTTTGTTTTTCGCCATTGAGTGTAATATTGCCTTTGGGCTTTTCATAAATGATGTTTCTTACGTTGAGGTAATTTTCTTTAATCCTAGTTTGTTGAGTGTGTTTAGCATGAAAAGGAGTTGAATTTTTTTTTTTTGGAGAGGTTTTTTTGCTGTAGGGCACGTGTGCTCGCCAGAAGGACAGACCCAGGGATGGCCACGCTGCTATCCCTTCTCCCCTTTCTCCTCTCGGGATCTTGGGCACACACACACACGCCTGGCGTGAGTTTAAGCCACCAGGTCCAGGACTCGAACCGTGGCCGATTATGTGGGAGTTCAGCAACATAGTCATTACGCTAACTGCTGGTCCCCAATTCTTTTTTTTAATTTATTTTTTAATTTGACCAGAGAGGGACAGAGCGAGAGAAAGAACAAGAGAGAGAGAGAGTGAAAAAACAAGTTGCCAGTTCCTGGACTCAAACCATGGTTGACCATTTGGGAGTCTTGCATCCTTAACCACCACACTACCTGTCAGCCCCCAAAGGAGTTGAATTTTTGTCAATTGCTTTTTCCGTATCAGTTGAGATGATCATGTTTTGGTATTTCATTTTGTTAATGTGGTATATTACATTGATTTTTTTTCCCCTCTATATTGAACTATCTTTGCATTCCAGGAATAAATCTCACTTGGTCAAGATGTTTATTCTTTTTAATATGTTCTTGTATGCAGTTTGCTCATATTTTGTTGAGGATTTTTGTATCAATATTCATCAAACGTATTGGTCTATAGTTTTCTTGTAGTACTTCTTTTGGAGTTTACTGTCAGAATAATACTGTTTTCATAGAATAAGTCTAGAAATTTTACACTATTTGTAGTTTTTTTTGGAAGTATTTGAGAAGCGTTGGTGTCAATTCTTCTTTCCTTTAATTTGCTAGGTAGGGTGGGTGTGCACTTGCCAGAGAGAGCGAGAGGGAAAGTGAGAAAGTACTCCCCATGGGGGATGGTCATGACACAGTTCTTTCTCTTCCATTTCTCCAGGACTTTGGTCATGCATACACACATGCCTGACATGTTTTTCAAACTACCAGTGTGAGACTCAAACCATGTAGTAGGCCATGAGGAATATAGCTACTTTAACCACCATGCCACTGGCTGGCTTTTGTTAATTCTTCTTTAAGTGCTTGGTAGAATTCTTCAGTGAAGCCATTTGGTTCTGGGCCATCTTTGCTGGGAGGTTTAGGTTATGGATTCCGTCTCATTTCTGGTTCTATGTCTGTTTAGCTTTTTATCACTTCCTGATTTAGTCCTGGTAGGTTGTAGGTTTCTAGGAATTTTTAAATTTCTTCTAGATTATTCAACTTGTTGGTTTATATTGTTCACAGTTGTCTCTTAACATACTTTCTATTTCTGACATTATAGTGTCTTCTTTTTAATTTCTGATTTTTATTTTTTTGAGGTTTTTTTTTTTTTTTTAATTTTTCATGGTTAGTCTTGTTAATGGTTTGTAGTTCTGCCAATTTTTTTTTTTCTATTCTCTATTTTAGTTTTGCTGTAGTCTTTACGATTTCCTTCTTTTTAACTTTGGATTTGGTTACTCTGTATTTGATTTCTTATACTGTAAACTAAAAGTCATGAGTTAGGTGCTTTTTCTCAATCACAGTGAGTCATGTTGGCTCTGTATGGGGTATTAAAAATTTTCTGGTGCTGCCATAAGCTTCTGTGCTCTCTCTTGTTCTCTTTGGCCCCAGTGTTTCCAAAATATGCTGGTTCTCCATTAGCACCCAGAGTCAGGCAACAGAAATCAGTCCCTTGGACAGTCCCTGAAAAGCCTATGTTGGACATAGGTCTCTACTCTTTAGCTTTCCTCTGAAGGGACTAGCCATATGTTTTCCTCTTAATCCTGAGCTGTGTCATTTTAGAGTTGGGGATGATGTGGATGAAATGAAATAGCTTTTCTTACTGGTTTCAATGAGTTAGTTTGGGATATTGCAACTTCCTAATTGGTTTCTGGCATTGTTGTAAAGGCTTTTTGAACTGCATATTGTTGTTAAGTCAGTGTTTTTGTGGAGAAATAAGGTCTCAGATGTCTTTTTTTTGCCATCTTGCTGACTTTGTCCAGAGTTTTAACTGGGAGTTCTATGAGGTAAGGACATTTGATTGAATTATTGTCTGTGAGGTTGACTCTATTTCCAGATCCCTTTCTTCCCCACAGGGTAGGCTAATGTCACATGGCACAAAACCCAAACCTTTAATCACATGATTGGCCTTTCTGGCATGGCCATTGCCAATTTGTGTCATCTATTTAGCATAAACTATCTAGAGGCCCACCATGAGTCTCATTGTGCTAAGTTGTAGTTATAGGGTTTAGAAGTTATCTTCCAGACACTTAGGACAAAGGCTACCCATAATCTATATTACACATGTATATTAAAATCTATTCACATGTATAAAATTTTTTTTTTTTTGAGAGATTTTCACTGTAGGGCGCGTGCACTCGCCAGACAGACAGAGAGAGACATAGAGACAGAAAGTGAGAAATCACCCCCCCGGGGGGATGGTCACGCCGCAATCCCTTCTCCTCCATTCTCCTCTCGGGATCTTGGGCACGCACGCACACGCGACCGGCGTGAGTTTTAAGCCACCGGGTCCGGGACACGAACCGCGGTCGACTACGTGGGAGTCCAGCGACATAGCCATTACGCTAACTGCTGGTTCCCACATGTATAAAATTTAAAAAGTCCAAAGATGTACAGGGAAATAAAACTTAACCACCCAGTTTTCTCCTCGGAGGCAGACACTTTTTTCTTTTTTAGTTTTGCTATTGCGATAGAATGTATGTGTTTGCCAAACACACACACACACACACACACACACACACACAGAGAGAGAGAGAGAGAGAGAGAGAGAGAGACAGAGAAAGTACTTTCTAGGGAGATGACCATGCCTTCATTTTCCTCTCTGGATTGTGGGCATGCACACACATGTGCCTGCCACTGTATCTTTCAAGCCACCAGAGATTTGAATCACACAGCTGTGTGGCATCTGGCTATATGGGATCCAGCTGCCTGAACCATCAGACCACTGGTTGGCATGATGGCAGATACTTTTTAAAAAATAATTTTTCCATGAATAACAGTTAACTCTTTAAAAGTAATAGATTTTTATTTGTTTTTCTTTGGTTATTGCCTTATTTTAATTACTTGAAAGGCTATTTTGTTCTTCAAGCAATGATTAATGCAATGATCTTAATTTCTCCAAATTATACCTTAAATGAGTGTGTTACTGAAACACTAGGAGTTAGGATAGAAAAGTGAAATTATTCTTTAGATGTTAAAATGAAAATCATGTTCTTTTTTTTTTTTGGTCTGAGTGTAAGAAAGTATTTTCTTATCAACTTAGTATATTGATTGTAAAAAAAATGTTTTTTAAAATAAATACTGTCTTTTAATATTTTATTTCTCACCCTTTTTTGTTAGTGTAAGTAGTGAGCACATTTAAACATGCTTAATGTTAAGGGCAGCCACAGGTTTTGGTGCAGACATGGACAAGTCCAAGAACCACACCACACACAACCAGTCCTGAAAATGGCACAGAAATGGCATCAAGAAACCTCAGTCACAAAGATAAGAATCTCTCAAGGGGGTAGACCCCAAATTGCTGAGAAACACATGCTTTTCTAAGATGCACAACAAGAAGGATCTGAAGAAGATGCAGACCAACAATGCCAAGGCCACGAGTGCACAAGCGGAGTCCATCAAGGCCCATCTAATGCCCAAGGAGTTTTAGAAGGGCATCCTGAAGGGCAGCAACTGCAAGCTCAGTTGTCTTGCCTACACTGTCCACCCTAAGTTCGGGAAACGTACTTGCACCTGTATCAATGCGGGCCTCAGGCTCTTTCCGCCAGAGGCCAACGAGGCCAAAGCTAGGGCTCAGACCAAGACCCAAACTAAGACTGAGGCCTCAGCTGCAGCTTCATCTTCAGTTTCGGCTATAGCTCAGGCTCCCAAAGGTGTCCAGGCCCCCCACAACAGCTCCATAGTAGAGGCCTCTGCCAGTGTGTGGACAGAAGAACCAGTGACCCCCGGGCTGTTCCCTATGTGAGAACGGTATCCTCCTGTGCTGTGTGTCTGAATAAACCTAAGTCAGGAAACAAAACAAAACAAAAACAAACAAAAAAATGCTTAATGTTAATAAAGAAAAAAAAGTTGAGAATGCAATCTAGAATTTTACATAATTTTTTCCCTGAATATCCTTTGTGCATAAATTAGCATATCTGTTAGAAAATTTGCTTTATGTTTTTTGATTGATTTTTAGGAAATTTAAAATTTAATAACTTAATTATTAGTATTTATATCTTAATTTCTTATATGTATTATTTAGGATGTTAGAAATACTCTTTCAAAGTAGCTAGCTTGCTTTTTTAATGACTTAGGCTAGGGCTAGAACTTATAAAATCTGGAACTTGTAAACTTTCCTTTTCAGAGACTAGTAATCTCTTTTTGTGATTTTTTTTCCATGTTTCTGCTTTAAGCAATACTTCAGTATCTCCAGTTATTTTGAAAAGTATATTGGTTATATTTGATATATATAATTACATTTACTTATTTGGTATATGTTTTTTATATGTATTTTTAATCTTTTTCCCTCACAGGCAAATTGTCATTTTGCTCTTCTTTTTCTTTACTTCTTTCTGTTGTTTCAATTAAGCATTTATGGATGGGAGTACTGGATTGGAGATATAAGGATGAATTATCAAACAAAGTTTAAAATTTGGGGTAGGGAATGATATAGATGCTCAAGTCCGATAGTGCACACAAATAGGTTTTAAAATTTTGTGACTGGTTCCAAAATAAAATCTGGATGTTTTGGTTCGTTTTCCCCTTGCCAGGGTCCTGTATTAATAGGAAGTTCTCAAGGTGGTGTCAACATTGAAGATGTTGCTGCAGAAACTCCTGAAGCAATAGTTAAAGAACCCATTGATATTGTTGAAGGCATCAAGAAGGAACAAGCTGTCCAGGTATGTTATATTCCAAAATATTCTAACTTGTGATTAGAGAATTATAATACATAAAGATAATTAACTTTATAAAGTGAAGTGATTGTCAGAACTTTTTCTTCTTTTAAATTTTGAATTTTAAGGCAAGTTTATATTTTGTTTGAAAATCCAATTTTTGGAAGTATATAAAGTATTTTTCTTCATATACATTTAATATGTATCTTTGAAAAATAAGGATTTTGGGGACCAGCAGTTAGCGTAATGGCTATGTCGCTGAACTCCCATGTAGTCGACCATGGTTTGAGTCCTGGACCCAGTGGCTTAAACTCAGGTTGGGTGCGTGCATGTGCATGCCCAAGACCATCCCCTGGGGAGTGATTTCTCACTTTCCGTCTCTCTGTCTCTCTCTGTCTTTCTGGCAAGTGCACACGCCCTATAGCAAAAACCTCTCCAGAAAAATAAATAAATAAATAAATAAATAAATAAATAAAAAAGTAAGGACTTTGTTGGGGAGCAGCCAGTGTTGTATGGTGGTTAAGGCAGCTGGATGCCACAAGGCCAACTGCTGTTTGAGTCTTGGACTCTGTGGCTTGGAAAACATCTGAGAACAATGTGTGTGCCCAAAATCCTGAGAGGAGAATGGAGGAGAAAGGATTGCAGCATGGCCAGTCCCCACTTGAGCAGAGGGTGCTTTCTCATTTTCATCCTCTCTTTGTCTGTCTTTGTCTTTCTCTCTCTTCAGTGAGCACATGTGCCCTATAGCAAATTAAAAAAAAAAAAGTGTGTGTGTGTGTGTGTGTGTGTGTGTGTGTGTGTGTATATTTTTTTTTAAAAAGAATCCCCATACCTTCTAGTAAAATCAATAACAATTTCTTAATATTATTACCTACAACGTCCAATTTCTCTAGTTATTTCAGATTATTTTTTCTTTTATAATTTGTTAGGGTTTGGATCCATATAAAGTCTTTCATTGCTATTATTAATATGTCTCATAGATCTTTTTCTTATTTATAGGTTTCCTTTACCTGATGCTCTCTATCCTTTTTCTTTTATTTGTTGAAACTGTTTTTTTCTTTTAAGTAAACAAATTTTTAAAATTCAATAGCAGATAATCTTCCAAATTAAAAAAAAAGGAAAAATAATGTAGACTTCAAAGACAAAAATGTGTATCAACTTAATAAAAATATTTAAAGGGCCATTTGGAGAGTATAACAGTGCAGAGAATTATCTTTCAAGAAATAAAAAGAATAATCATTTATCATTTTTCGTGGTCCATATTTATGTTCCTATGGTTTCATTTAAAATGTTCCTCTGCCCTTTTTACTTCTTGTAAATTGTATGGTGTGCTAGAGACATTTCTTGTACATATCTATATATCTATGATAGACCAGTGATTTTACTTTAAGGAGCTTATAGATACTTTTAAGGATCCGATGAATGCTGTGAACTTTCAGTGTGTGCACATACATAAATTTTGGCGGCAATTTCACTAGTTTTCTGTACACTGCTTCTTTTCTGATACCCTCCGCAACTGAAACAAAAACAACAAAAGCACAAGAGCCTAAGTTTAATCTATGGCATCAAAAACTTGCGTGGTAAGGGGCTGGCAGGTGATGTGCTGATTAAGGACGCTGGACTCCCTCCACGTGACTGACTGCAGTTCGAGTCCCGACCTGGCTGCTTACTTTCTCACTTTCCCTCTCTCTCACTTTTGTGCTGTCCCTCTCTGGTCTAATTCAAATAAATAAGTAAAGTTAAATAAAATAATTTTAAAAAATAAAAAAAAATTGTGTGGTAATATTTGTAATTCTGCTGTTAAATTGAATTGTATGTTTTGAGTACAAAAATAAATGACTCATCTTCGTGAAAATTTTGAATATTAGACTTTTAATGAAATGTAAAACCTATTAGTGAGAAAACTATTTCAAAATAAGCTTATGATATGATGTACAACATGAGCAAGAATTTTGACTGGCACAAACACATAAAGGATATAGAGAAATTTTCCTGATGAATAGTTAGGTAGAGTTTCAGCAAATGGGTAATGTGAATGTATAGGACAGAGACTTGGTTCATTATGTAGTTATGTGAGAATGATGACTAGAGAGTGAAATTTAGATGAGGAAGAAAATACTTGATTTGTAAGAATTCTTAAAGGAAGACCAGCATGTGATATAATGGTTTCATCCCATGTAGTCTACGGTGGTTTGAGTCCTGAACCTGGTGGCTTAAAACTCATGCTGGGTGTGTGTGTGTGTGTGTGTGTGTGTGCCCAAAATCCTGAGAGGAAAACGGAGGAGACAGGATTGTGCCATTACCATCCCCTCTGGGGGTGATTTCTTGCTTTCTACCTGTCTCTCTGGTGGATGCACGTACCCTATAGCAAAAACTTCTCTTGAAAAAAAGAATTGTTAAAGGAATAATTTACCAAGATTATAGTGTTAGTACAATGAACAGATATGGTACCAAGCATAAGTTTTTGCAAATTAATATCATACAATATTATCAGAATTAGGATGCCATTTTCAAATGTTTTAAACCTAACAGTAGTGAGTTGTAGCCTAGTGAAAGTCTTTTGTAATTAAATGGTACCTTTTTCTTATTATTTATTTGAAATAGGTCTTAATTAAAATTGTATTTCTTAGCTTGATTATCTACTTTGTTTATTGTATCTGTAAAAATTTTATTTACCTTCAAAGAATTTAAGATTTTTCTATTATTGAAAAGTGAAAAGAATGTATTGCAGCCTTAGATAGCAATTAGAAGAGGAAATAAATTCTTCACGGTGTTCCCGAGCAGTCACAGTACTGTTAGGATAAACGTGTAGATATGTATCCCCTGTAGCAGTGGTTCAGAATTGTTTATGGGACTTTTTTTTTTTGTTTTGAGGTTTTTGCTATAGGTTGCATGTGCTCGCCAAAAAGACAGAGAGAGACAGAGAGACAGAAAGCGAGAAATCACCCTCTAGGGGGGATGGCCATGCTGCAATCTCTTCTCCTCCATTCTCTTCTTGGGATCTTAGGCACACATGCACATGTGCCCAGCGTGAGTTTAAGCCACTGGATCTGGAGCTTGAACTGTGATCAACTACATGGGAGTCTAGTGACATAGCCATTATGCCAGCTGCTGGTCCCTGTTTATGTAACTTTTAAAGGGCTACATACTTGGTCTACTATAGAACTAGTGAACCAGAACTTTTGAGTTGGATCCTTGATAATGTATTCTTTAAAAAGTTGTACAAGTAACTCTAATTAGGAAGTTTAAATTCCTGTGTCTTTTGAGCCTACCATGCTCTCTGCTGTGTATTAGGTTCTTAGTAGAGTCTTGAATGAATAGGATAGTACTCCTTTGACTGTATATGTCTTCATTGCTTTGTAGATACTCTATAAATTACCTAAGAGGTGAAATATCAGGTCGTTGGGAAAGTCAGGACACATTTTTGCAAAGAAAAATATGTCATGACTTTCCCAAAGACCCAATAGGATGATTTTGGCTATTGTTTGGGCTCTTGGGGTTTTTCAAATCTACCTTTTATATATAGTTTAAGTAGAATATAAGCCTCTTTCAGTTTACGTTGGCCATAAGGCTTAGAGGCAGTATGGAGGCTATTGAATAAACACTGGAACTGGAATCTAGGCAAATAGCAAGTCATTTGACTTCTCTGAATCGTTTAGTCATCTGAGCATAATATCTGTCTTTTCAGACTTTTAAATTCTAAAGTTTTGTTTAACCATTTAGTTTTAGTAGCTCCTGTTTCAATGATTAATGGCTTGCCTACAAATGACTCATACTTATTTAAATGATAAACTATGAAGTTTTTATTTATAATAATTTAATGTTGTTTTTACGTATATAAACTACCTATAATAAAAAAGATATTGCTTTCAGCTTGCACAGAAGATGGGATTTCCAGCTAATATTGTGGATTCTGCGGCAGAAAACATGGTCAAGCTTTACAACCTTTTTCTGAAGTACGATGCAACCATGGTAGAAATAAATCCAATGGTAGAAGATTCAGATGGAGCTGGTAAAGTGTTTCTATTTATTTATTTTAAAAATTTTAATGACAGTGTGTGTCTGTGCATGCAAGGGGTAGGAGGCTAGGAGAGAAGCACCCTGACAGGGTCTTGTTATGCCCTAACCCTCCACCTCCTTAGTATCTTGGGTACCCATGTGTCTTCAGGCTGATTCAGGGATTTGAACTTAGGGTTGGCCGCATGATTTCTAGTATTGTAGTGCAGTACTCATTCTACAGACTGCATTACGTAGGCTGAGCTGGTTATATGTTCTTTATTCAAATATAGATTGTGCATTGGTCTTTCATATACTTCACTAAGTAGAAATCATAAGGAAAGAACTCAGTCCTATGTAGAAGGTTATTTGGTAATAAATAGAATGAATGTGCGCAAATAATAAAGAGACCTATTAAAACAAATACCACAGCGGCCAGCAAGTGTGTGGTATTTAAGGTGCAGAACGCCACATGGCCTGCCACAGTTTGAGTCCCAAACCTGGTGGCTTGAAAATCATGCTGGGCGTGTGTGCATGTGTGCCTAAAATCCTGAGGAGAGAATGGAGGAGAAGGGATTGTGGTATGGCCATCCCCTTAGGAGGTGACTTCTCACTTTCCTCACTCTGTCTTTCTGTCTCTTTTTGGCAAGTGTATATGTCCTATGGAAAAAGACTAAAAAACAAACTAACTAAAAAAAAGCAAACACTACGTATATATTTATGTGTACACACAGGGAGGGATTAGAGCTACATTGTACTTTATGGAAGACATCAGCCAGATGTGGCTATTCAAATTAAAATTACATGAAATTTAAAAATTTAGTTTTTCCATTATGTTAGTAACATTTCAATTGTGCAGAAGCCACATATGGCTATCATACCGGGTAGCATGCGTAAAGAACATTTCTGTCATTGCAGAAAGTGATACTGGGCATTGCAAGGTTAGTCTCCAATGCGGTAGTGAGTAAATATTGGTAGTTTGGGGGAATTAGCTATCTGGGTCTTTATGAATTTCAGATTTTAGAAACATGATGAATTTTTATTGTGTACTCTATAGATAGTAGAGCAATTTTAATATTTTTAGTCATTAGAGAAGTAAGAGGATTATCTTGTCACTTGGACAGTTTTCTTTTGCATATGCTTAAAAGATAAATCAGATCATGCTTTCTATGTATAGTGTTTTTTTTTTTAAAGTAAGTTGTTTTATTGTAGCTTAATTTTTCTCAGTAGTTCATATTAATTGTTACTAATCTATTTGATTTTGTTTAATCTCTTTAGACAATTCTTATCTTCTTAAACATGTGTAGATTGCTTTTACATTTATACTTTTAGTTATATTATTTATCATATTAATAGAAATCAGTTTTTGCTTGATTATTTATATGGTAGTATAAAGAATGAATAGATTCTCCTGTGTTAATAAAGGTAGTTTATAAAACTGAAAATAATTGCGTGTTTTTGAAAAATAAGGACTGATCTATATTTTTAAAATGAAACATTCAGTGAAGAATTATCTATATAAAATTATCTGTATCGTATTTTGTTTTCCTGATTAAGTAACTTAAGAGAGGGGGCTGGCAGGTGGCATGGTGGTTAAGGGCACTGGACTCCCACATGGCCGACTGCGGTGTAAGTCCTGGACTTGACGGCTTGCTTTCTCACTTTCCCCCTCTCTCTCTCACTCTGTCCCTCTCTGGACAACTTAAAAATAAATAAATAAGTAAGGTTAAATAAAATAATTCTTAAAAAGAAAAAAGTAACTTAAGAGAGACCAGTTAACATTGAAAGTAATTCCTCTGTATTCTATCTGTGAAATTTGATAGCCATGTGCTATTGCTAAGGGAATGTGTGTTTTCTTAATAACTTTTAGACTTTCTTTTAGCTAAGGGAATGTTTGTTTTCTTAATAACTTTTAGACTTTCTTTTTTTTTTTTTTTTTTTGGTATTCAAGTTTTCTCTTCTTACCTTTCTTTTTTTTAAAAAAAGTTGCCAGATGGTGTATGTGCTTGCCAGAGAGACAGAAAGAGAGAAGGGAGAAAGTGCCCCTTAATGGGGTGTGGTCACTACAGTTCCTTCTCCATTTGTCCATCCTGTTAGGATTTTGGACATGCATACACAGGTTCCCAGAGTATTTTTCAAACTGTCAAGGCTGGGTTCCAACTGCAGTTGGCCGTATGGGGTCCAGCTTAATTATCTCTTAACCACTAGGCTATTGACTGGCCCAAGCTTTCTTTTCTTAACATTTCTTTGTGTTTGAGTAGGTTTTTTTTTTTTTTCCCCTTCTGATTAAGGGCATTGTAGGTTTATTATAGAAAATTTACAAATTTCCAAGAAATATAGATAGAAGGAAAAAAACCTCCTATAACATTAATAGCGAACACTGTTTTAATGTTTCATATAATTCATTTCAACTGTTTCTGAAATTGAGATTCAGTTCATATTTTTCCCTTTTTAAAATTTAAACTATAAAATAGTTTTTCCATGTTAAAATATTATTCACAGACAAAATTTATTTAAGTTGCTTTTTAAAAAGTTTATTTCTTCCATGAGTGAAACAGAGACAGAGACAGCAGGAGAGGGAGAAAGAAAGAGGGAGGGGGAGAGAGAGAGAGGGAGAGTACATATTCCCAACAGGTCCTGATGCTGCAACTCCTAGTCTGACCCAGCCTCAGATCACTGGCAGGTGCCTGCCTAGTGTCCTTGAGTAGATGAGGAGGAATAGGGCCAAGGTGAAACTGTTAGGTAGGAGCGTAGACAATTAATTATTGATAATTTCTTTTTTTTGGAGAGGTTTTTGCTATAGGGTGCGTGTGCTTGCCAGACAGGCAGAGAGAGACAGAGAGACAGAAAGTGAGAAATCACCCCCCAGGAGGGATGGCCACACCACAATCCCTTCTCCGTTCTCCTCTCAGGATCTTGGGCATGCACGCACATGCGTCCGGCGTGAGTTTTAAGCCACCGGGACCGGGATGCGAACTGCGGTCTACTACGTGGGAGTCCAGCGACATAGCCATTTACGCTAACTGCTGGTCCCAATTATTGAAAATTTTTTAATAATTTAAAATATTTTTCTTCCCCTTTATTTAGGGCCTAAGATGGATGTCAAACTAGTGACTTTGATGGGACAGTTTTAGTTCCCAAGTATTCTTGTTAAGAAGCACTTTGAATTCATTATAAACATACATTGAAATACTTTCAATATGTAACAAAACTAAAATGTGTTTTTTGGGCCAGCCAGTGGCATGGTGATTGAAGCAGCTGGTTCCCACATGGTTGTTGAGTACTTGGTTTTGAGTCCTGGACCCCTTGACTTGAAAAACCCTCCGGGCACATGTGCCTATGTGCTCAAAATCCCAAGAAGAGAATGGAGAATAGATTGTAGCATGGCCATCGTGCCTGGGGGAGATGCTTTCTCACTTTATCTTTCTCTTTTTGGTGGGCACATGTGCTCTACAGCATTTTTTTAAAATGTATTTCTCCCTAAATAATGTTTGCTTATTGGATAATTTATTGTCTCTCTCATGAAATTAAGACTACTTTCTTTTTTCCTTTAAAAGTGCTGTGTATGGATGCAAAGATTAATTTTGATTCCAATTCAGCCTATCGCCAAAAGAAAATCTTTGACCTACAGGATTGGACCCAGGAAGATGAACGAGACAAAGATGCAGCTAAGGCAGATCTCAACTACATTGGTCTTGATGGAAATATAGGCTGTCTAGGTACCATATGTTTTTATGTTAGAGTTGGATTTGCTAATTTTAATTTATTTTCTCTGTGTCTGTTGTTTATACCAATCATTTTCCTCTCTTTATAGTAAATGGTGCTGGTTTGGCTATGGCCACAATGGATATAATAAAACTTCATGGAGGAACTCCAGCCAACTTTCTTGATGTTGGTGGTGGTGCCACAGTTCATCAAGTAACAGAAGCATTTAAACTTATTACTTCAGACAAGAAGGTAAGGGCAGGGCTTTTGTTTTAGAATTTGCATCCTGAGCAGTAACTTAATGAGTAACTACAAGGTGTGGTCAGTATGATAGTTGAATAGGAAAATCTGAAGTATCTTAATAGTTTGAAAAGAGAAGTTTAAATCAATGCAATAGAAATTAGTGAAAAGGAAAATGTTTCTTGTTTTTGAAAGTTTCACAGTAGGAAGCTTTATCTTTTTCTCTAGTTTACTCTGTGATTTAGAAAACAGGTAGAGAAATACTAGATGATGGGCCAGCCTGTGGCTTGGAGATGAAGAAACTAGATCTCACATTTTCGACTGTGTGGCTCAAGCCCTGGACCTGGCAGCTTGAAAAACATGTTAGGCACGAGTACATGCATATCCAAAAATCCCAAAAGAAGAGAGAGACGGAGAAGGGATTGTGACGTGACCATTCTTCATAGGGGAGTCTTTCTCCTTTTCTCTGTGTTTCTAATGAGCATATAAACTCTTTGGCAAGTAAAAAAAAAAAAAGGGAAATATTAGATGTTATTCTATGATAGTATAAATGATGATCTGACGTGGGAGCCATTTATTGGGTCATCTGAAAAGTCATGACACATTTATGCATAGAAAAACATAGAAAAATATGTCACCACTTTTCCAGTGACCTACTACATTATAAAATTTCTGGAGAGGGGCCAGCAGGTGGTGTGGTGGTTAAGGTGCTGGATTCCCACAGTTTCAGTCCTGGACCTGGAGTCTTACTTTCTCGCTTTCCCTCTCTCTGGTCAAATTAAAATAATAATAAACAAAATTAAATAAATAATTCTTTAAAAAAACAATATGGAGATGTTAGTTGACCACAAAAGCCCAGGAATCAGGATAATATACAAAGCTAGAAAGAAGAAAAATCGTGTTTAATTCTATTCAGAAATAATTTTATTACCGTTGATTTTATCTGTTTTCTTCAAGACTTGTTAATATATATTTCAGCATGCACTACATTATATCTTAGAAACAGCTTTAAGATATAAATGATAGGAACCAGCAGTTAGCGTAATGGCTATGTTGCTGGACTCCCACGTAGTTGACTGCCGTTCGAGTCCTGGACCCGGCAGCTTAAACTCATGCCAGGCATGTATGCGTGTGTGCCCAAGATCCCGAGAGTAGAATGGAGGAGAAGGGATTGCGGCGTGGCCATCCCCCCTGGGGGGTGATTTCTTGCTTTCTTTCTGTCTCTCTTTGTCTTTCTGGCGAGTGCATGTGCCCTATAGCAAAAACCTCTCCAAGAAAAGAAAAAAGAATGATATAAATTATATAGCATATAGTTTACCCACTCATTTATCTGTTTTTTAATATCATTTTTTGCTAATATATCTTGAACACTTTCTATAATTTGCCAAGTTATTCTTCTAAAACACTTATTTTAATTTTGTGTAATCTTTCATATAGATAAACCATAATTCAGAACTGTACATTTATAAATTATCAGCAAATACAAGGGATATAAAGCTTTGTAATTGAAAAGATTTACATGTTATTAGTCCCTAGATATTGGTCCTTCACTGTTGAAGGGAGGGAAGATCAATGAAAGAGTGCAAGAGAATAAACTAACAGAGATAGAAGATATGAGAGAAAGGGGAGACATTGAAGGTAGGGAAAGAAGGTTGAAAAGCAAGGCAATGGACAGCAATGTCAGATATTCTAGGAGAGACCAGAGGAAGGACTGGAAGAAATGGCTAGGAGCCTTAGTAAAGGAGAGGAAGGCAGGGGCCAATTGTGATGAGTGTGTTGTGATCGGAAATTGAGAGAGTAGAGATGCCCAAGAGGATTACTCTTTCAGGATGTGTGTGTGTTTGTTTTTGTTTTTGTTTTTGTTTTTGTTTTAAGAAGCTGTGGAAAGGCATGTCCTTTGAAGGGAGTTAGGGTTGAGAAGGGCTTTTTGGTGTTTGCTTGCCTGCTTGTTTGTTTAGAAGATGAAGAAGATGAGGGAACCAGCAGTTAGCGTAATGGCTGTGTCGCTGGACTCCCACGTAGTCGACCGTGGTTTGAGTCCCTGACCCGGTGGCTTAAAACTCACGCCAGGTGCATGTGCGTGCGTGCCCAAGATCCCGAGAGGAGAATGGAGGAGAAGGGATTGCGGCGTGACCATCCCCTCTGGGGGGTGATTTCTCGCTTTCTGTCTCTATGTCTCTCTCTGTCTCTCTGCCGAGTGCACGTGCCCTATAGCAAAAACCTCTCCAAAAAAAAAAAAAAAAAGATGAGCTATTTCTAACTGGAGAAGAGACTTGAAGATAGGAGAATGAGTATAGCTAAAGGGGTGAAGACTGGAAAGAAATGAACACAATTCAGTAACTGGCGATACAGTGCAGGTTAGGTTTGTTGGCCAAGTTAGACTTGGAAATAGTATTCCCATCTTGAGGTGTTACTGGAGAAAGGAAAATCATATGTTAAATTTAGGGAACTTGAGGGGCTTATGAAGAGTTAAAGGTATGAAGCAAAATGCTCAGGAGAGATTTGCTGATGAATCATTGTCAAACTGCTCTTCAGGTTATGCTAGTGTTTCAGATGTTTAAAAAATGGTTTTGCTTGGGACCAGCAGTTAGCGTAATGGCTATGTCGCTGGACTCCCATGTAGTCGACCATGGTTTGAGTCCTGGACCTGGTGGCTTAAACTCACGCCAGGTGCTTGTGCGTGCGTGCCCAAGATCCCAAGAGGAGAATGGAGGAGAAGGGATTGCAGCATGGCCATCCCCCCGGGGGGTGATTTCTCGCTTTCTGTCTCTCTCTCTGTCTCTGTCTGGCGAGTGCATGTGCCCTATAGCAAAAACCTCTCCAAAAAAAAAAATGTTTTTGCTTTAGGGTCAGTAGATGACATGGTAGTTAAAGCTCTGGATTTTCACATAGCTGACCATGGTTTGAGTCTCTGATCTGGTGGTTTGAAAATCACATTGGGCGCATGTGCATGCATGCCCAAAATCCTGAGAGGAGAATGGAGAAGGGATTGCAGTGTGTCCATCCACCTGGGGAATGATTTCTCACTTTCCCTCTCTTTGTCTCTGGGGAGCACGCATGCCCTATGGTAAAAAGCTAAAAATTTTTTTTTTTTTTTTTTTTTTTTGCTTTTACTTGAAGTTGGAATGGGTAAACAGTGGCAAAAATCATCCAACAATGTGTAACTTGAATGGGGATGGCAAAGGAGTACATAGGATTGAATTGAGCAGGCAGGTGAGAGTGCTTTTGACTAGTTATCCATAGTTTCCAGGCTTTGCAGCAGTGGTTCCCAACCTTCCCAGCACGAGACTAACCTTGTGGGAGACAATCCCTCCATGGACAGGGGCAGGGTTTGGTCCTAGGATGAGGGCATCACATCTATCATGCACCCCATTTCCACCTACCACATTGCAATATATGATGAAACAACCAGATGACAGTAGGGTTCACATTCTCACGAGAATCCAGAACCACCACTGATCTGACAGGAGGCAGAGCTCAGGAGGCAAAGCGAGTAATGGGGAGTGGCTGTGAATACAGTTGCTTGCCTGCCGACCATCCAGCCTCCCTACTATGCGGATGGTGGAGGCGGGCCCAGCACAGGTCCATGAGCCCGCCTAAACAGGCTGTGGACCAACACTGGTCCATGGCCCATGGATTGAGGACCCTTAACGTATAGTGAAGAAAGTTAGTGAGTTGACAGACTGGGGGATTAGTAAGGAATTGAGTCTAGAGGCTTTTAAGAGGAAATATCGGGCTTGGTGGAGTTAGAGGTGAAAGGCATTAAAGGTGAAAGGGGGGAAGGAGGTTGAACAGGGAAGGATTTATACATCTGATATTCTAAACACCTTAATTCTGGTCAAGTCCAGGATTTGTTTTTGGTAGTGATTAGTTGAAATGAATTGGAAGTAGAAGTGGCTTTGTGTAAAGGTCCAGGGAGTAACTTTAAAACTACAGTGTTAGGGACCAGCAGTTAACATTATGGCTGTGTTGCTGAACTCCCATGTAGTCGACCATGGTTTGAGTCCCGGACCAGGTGGCTTAAATTCATGCCAGTCGCATGTGTGCGTGCCCAAGATCCTGAGAGGAGAATGGAGGAGAAGGGATTGCGGCATGGCCATCCCCCTGGGGGGTGATTTCTCACTTTCTGTCTGTCTCTCTGGCAAGCACATGCTCCCTGTAGCAAAACAAAACAAAACAAAAACCTTCAAAAACCAAAACCAAAACCAAACAAAACAAAAACTAGAATGTTAGATGCTTGCTGCCTTGTGGTAGATATTGAAGCTCTGCAGAATGAAGTGGTCCCAAAGTCTTCTGAGTTCTATTCCATTATAAATTCTAGAGCTTTATTTCTTGAAGACCTAGAAATAATAGTGGTAAAGCTAAGGAATGTGTAGTATAGCTTCATGTTTCCCAACCATTTTCACGACCTGGCATTCACAAAAAATATCTTAGTGAGCCTTTGGAGATAATGGAGAAGGTTTTTTGTAGTTGGAGTCCACTGACCGAAAGACTCTAGCTAGCCTAGAACCTTCCTAGTTGTCCTAAGGGTTGAGAAGATTGATGTTTTGGTGTATTTATAACCCATTTGTTTTGTTTGTTTGCTTGTTAGGTTTTTTCCCCATAGGATACATGTGCTCATTGGAGAGAGAGAGGGGGAAAGTAAAACATCATCTCCAGGCAGGATTTTGGGCATCCATTCCAGTCCCTTCTCCATTCAGGATTTTGGGCACATATGCACATGCCCCCAATGTGATTTTCAATCTGCCTGGTATAGGACTTAAACCACAGTTGGTCATCTGGGAATCCAGTGCCTTAACCACCACGCTGCCAACTGACTCTAGCTTATTTGAATCTCATTGTTGAAGATGCTTCGGTATAGCTAAATTAACTAAGCCTTTTTAAAAATAAAAGTTTTTTTTTTTTTCTTGAAAAGCTGGAAGAATACCAATTCAGGACTGTCTATATGATGGTAAAAAATGCTGGCTCAAACAGATCCTGAAGTTGGGATGTAAAGTGTGGCCAGGAGTGGCTGCACAGAACTTGAGTGATACCGAGAGCCTGGTCTGTGTGAAAAGTTGGTTCCATTGATGGAAATAAATGAATAGATGATAGGGAATGAACAATAAATTAGATATCTTCCATGTGACAATATTTTGTAATGTGATCTGGGATAGAAATGTTGAAGAATAGCTGTGTTTAATAGAGCAAACTAAATGGAATTAGGAAATCTTGTTCATATGGAGTAAACTAGAGAAGAGACTGTGAATCAAGTAATGATAATACCCAAGCAGGTGGAAATAAGTTCTGATGGGCAGTGGACTGCACAGAGTTTAATAATGAGAACTAGAAGAGGATATGGATAGTTTGGCCTAAAAATGTTTCTGTAGAATTAATTTTTTTTTTTTTTTGAGAGGTTTTTGCTATCGGGCACATGCGCTTGCCAGAAAGGCAGAGAGAGACAGAGAAACAGAAAGCGAGAAATCATCCCCCAGGGGGGATGGCCATGCTGCAATCCCTTCTCCTCCATTCTCCTCTCAGGATCTTGGGCACACACGCACACTTGCCCGGTGTGAGTTAAAGCCACCAGGTCCAGGACTCCTGGACTACATGGGAGTTCAGTGACACAGCCATTATGCTAACTGCTGGTCCCGAATTAATTTTTTTTTTAAAGAGATTTTTGCTATAGTGCATGTGCGCTTGCCAGAGAGAGACAGAGATAGAAAGCAAGAAATCACCCCCCAGGGTAGGGCCACACCACAATCCCTTCTTCATTCTCCTCTTGGGATCTTGGGGATGCACACACACATGCACCTGGCGTGTTTTAAGTGTCCAGGTCTGGGACTCAAACCGTGGTCCACTGTGTAGGAGTCCAGTGATATAACCATTATGCCTTCTGCTGGTCCCATTATGGAATTAACTTTTATTATGAGGCATAGATGCTAATATTTTCTTGGGAAAGAAGGATAAATACTCATTCCTTTCAAATTTTAATCCATCAAAAATACTTTATTCACAGGTACTAGCTATTCTGGTCAATATTTTTGGAGGAATCATGCGGTGTGATGTTATTGCACAGGGTATAGTCATGGCAGTAAAAGATTTAGAAATTAAAATACCTGTTGTGGTACGGTTACAAGGTAAGTGCAAAATAAATCTTACAATTTTCCCTAATTCCTTTAAAATTCATGGTTCTGAGACTTGGTTCATTTAAAATATACCTTTCAAATAGTTGTATTTTTTAAATGAAAGCATAACATAATACAAAATTTAAAACTGGTTTTTGAAAAATTTCTACATTGAGGCAAAAATGTTTGTAGTTTTGCCTGGTATAATTGATACTTTTTTTTTTTATTTGCTGTGAATTAGCATTGATATGCTAAGGCAAATATTTTACAAGATAATTCCAAGGTTTCATAGTGTTTTTTTTGTTGTTGTTGTTTAGAAGCATTTTCTTATGTTAAATAATGGAGGTACTCTTATATTGAAGTTTCATACTTGTAACATGTTAAGAGAAACATTTTAAATGCTTTTGTGTATTTATTTAAAACATATTTACTTGATATTTGTATGAATCATTTTTAGGTACACGAGTTGATGATGCTAAGGCACTGATAGCAGACAGTGGACTTAAAATTCTTGCTTGTGACGACTTGGATGAAGCTGCTAGAATGGTAAATAGGCTATGCTAATTTCAGGACAAATTTGCAAAGTTTATAAACACTTAGGACCAAAAATAAGTTGGATAATTATTAGTATTGCTAAAATTAGTGGTTTAGTTAAATATTGTGAATATAATGTGTTGTTAAAGAAAAAAATTAAAATCATACTACTTGTTAAAAAATAAAGAATAAAGGCAGACTTTATTCAGGAGGACTGTAGTGCTAGGTATAGAGACGAAGATGGGGTTTTGTAGTAGGGCAGAAGGATTGGGCTCAACCTTAAACACATTAGAGAAGAGTGGGAATTTATAACCATGGAGCTGTGTGGAGCAATGGATGGAAAATTACTAAGGTAAAGGGGATAGGGAGAATAAGGGAGCATTCTGGCTAAACTGACTTTAATCCAAGCCTTACTGTAGTTGATAATACAGAGACAAATAGGAGTCCAGAAGTCCTGAGTCTAGTTGAGAAGAGTATTCAGGGGAGCCTTATGAGGATTTGGTCAAGGAGAGAATTTTTTGTCAGAACCTTTTGTACCCATGATCCATCTTAAACAGTGATCAACACATGCCTAATTTGTCTCATCTGAGTTCTTACCTACATCCTCCCTCATCCATGAATATTTTGAAGCAAATCCCAGATGTCAGGGGCCAGCCCCATGGTGCAGCATTTAGGCACTTTACAGAGGAAGACAGATTCCACATAGTCATCTGGGCTTTGAGTCTGGGCCCTGTTGGCTTCATGCAGGGCATGCACACATGTGCTTAGGATTCTGATGGATGAAGAATTGGAGTGAAAAAGATTTTATCATGATTAAGACCTGTTGGGGTGTGCTTGCTTTCTCTTTCTCTCTTGCCCACATTTCCTCTGGCATAAACCAAAAAAAAAAAAGAAAAATATCCCAGACATCATAAAATTTTATACATTTTATCATATCTCTATAAAAGATGAAGGTATTAATAATGACATGGGCATTGCTGTTACTTGTTTTAGGTGACATAACGGTATTATGGTTATGTTTTATTAAAAGTAATGTAGTCAGTGTTGAAATTTCCTGGATTCTCATATCTTTTATGTATCTTTCCTGTCCCCACTTTAAATGAATGGTAGCATGTACTTTATTTTGTTTCTTTTACCTAACAATATACTTCAGAAAACACTTCATAGTAGATAAAGAGATGTTTCTAGATGAGAACATTTGATTGCTTTTTGTCATGGGTTCATATGGGTTAATTAATAACAGACGTTTGAGATTTGCTGAGTTAATGTGATGTCATTTCAGGAAAATAAAAAGAGCTATGTTCTTTTGAAAAGTACCTACTAGCAAATAAAATTTAACTATAATTTAGAGACAGTGGAATTTATACTCAATGTTGAGTTGAAATGAAAGATTTTGAGCAAGGGAATGATAGATAGTATTCAGAAAGCCTGTTTTAACTTTGAAATGTGGAATAAATTGAAGGGAAGAGATGAGAGATAGTGAAGAGTTCATCTAGTACAATAATTGTGTATTAGATGTCAGCTAATGAATGGGTTATAACTTATATCTGAAAATATGCTTGTTTGCAATGAAAGCCTGAATTAAGAAAGTTTGGCAGACAAGGAAAGGAAGAAAAATCAGTAGGACCCTGTGGTTTGAGTCCCTGACCTGGCATCCTGAAACTCATGCCAGGCGCCTATGTGTGTGTACTCCAGATCTTGCGAGAAGAATGGAGGGGAGGGGATTGCGGTGTGGCCTTCCTCCTTGGGGAATGATTTCTTACTTTCTGTCTCTCTCTCTCTCTCTCTCTGTCTCTTTAGCAAGCACATGTGTCCTATAGCAAAAGTCTATCTCTCAAAAAAAAAAGAAAGGTGAAAGTGAAAAGTTATTTTTTAAATTTGATACAGGGTGTATGAACTTGCCAAAGAGATATAGGGTGGAGTGTGAGTGACAAAGCACCCCAGTGGGGATAGACATGCTGCAGTCCTTTTATAGATGAGAAAATAGGCTAGATAAGTCAATTTATTTGAGATTATATGTTGTAAGCATCAGAGTGGAGGTTTGAATCCTAACTTCAAAGACTTGTTTCCACTACTCTACAAGGGAAGAGAGAATCTGATTTTGGTTTTTGCTTTAGATTTGTCTAATTTGTATTTTTTTATGGTAACAAACAGGTAGAGGTTCTTAAACAGATTTTAGAGGGTGTTAAAATTCAGATTGGCAATTGTTAACTTACTGACAAAAGTAAAATACTAATTCCTAGACCCAAACTCCTATCTCAGTATTGTCTTTTAAGATTGTATACATTTTTCAAAACAAATTTTATTTGGATGTGCTTTGAATTGTGGGGTTATCCAACAGATATCTGTCTTTAAGATAAAATAAAACTTACATAATTATATATACACAATGTATCTTAATGAGGAAGTGTTTAGTGGAAATGTGGGTTATAAAGAATATCAGACTTGGGACCAGCAGATGGTGTAATGGTTACATTGCTAGACTCCCACATGGCCAACTGTGGTTTGAGACTTTGACCTGACAGCTTGAAACACATGCTAGGGGTGTGTGTGTGTCCCAAATCCTGAGAGGAAAATGGAGGAGAAAGGATTGTGGTATGGCCTTCCCTCCTGGGGGATGATTTCTTGCTTTCTGTCTCTCCGTCTCTCTCTGATTCTCCAGTGAGTGCACATGCCCTATAGCAAAACTCTCTGTAAAAAAAAAAAAAAAAATCAGACTTAATGAGCTACCCTTTGAGAGTGTCAGTTGTTGTAAGAATTAGTATGATTTATAGTAATGTCAAAATAGTCCAGATGTTTTCAACAGAAAGGATTGTGCATGCACTAATTTCGCATAAACTTGTAATTCTCAGTTTACCTTTTTTGTGAAAGTCAAATGTGCTGCTTTGTTCTTTCTTCTTCAGGTTGTAAAGCTTTCTGAAATCGTGACCTTAGCCAAGCAAGCCCATGTGGATGTGAAATTTCAGTTGCCCATCTGATCTGAGAACCCTGTGGATGGCTGAAGGTGTTAAATGTGCTGTAATTGTTAAGAATACTTATGTCTTGTGTTACTGTTCTTTTTCTTTTTAGTGTGTGGAAATTGTAGTTGCCACTCCAGGGACACAGACTTTCACAAACATTTGGTCTGCATTTAATTTTCTTATTCAAAATGGACTGTTTGTATAAAGAACATATAATGCAAGCTTCTGGTTTCTTTTTGTTGCAGCATTTTCACTTCTCCAGAATGTCACTTGCAATATGCTTTTTATTATTGTTGGGTACAAAGTTCTTCATTGATAAGAGTCCTATAAATAAAATAAATATGAAGATAAAACTTTATTCTTTAGTGTTAAAGGAATACCATATCTAATAACTAGCTTCATTAGTAGACTAGTGTATGAAAACAATGTTTTATATAAGAAATGTTTATCTTCAGCACCAAATACATAATAAATGTATCAACCACTATTTATAAACAGAGCTTTCAAACACTCCTCAGAATATCCTTTTAAGTATTTCAATGAACTGTATTGCTAATTATTTGAACATTGATTTAATCATTATAAAACACTGATAACTGCAGGTCTTCCTGATACTGTGGTATTAAGACTTGTAGGTTTGTATCAAATAAAGGCATATTTGCTAAAGACTTGGTAGACAAAATTAAGAATGGCTTAAGTGAATAAAAATCTCCCAATGTGATTTGGATTAATGTTTTTTGGTTTTGTTTTATTTTTAAGTGGAAGCCAATGTGTTCATCATTGCAATAAACAAGTCTAAGGAACCACTTTGGAGGTCATATATACCTGAGCATGACAGTACCTGTATGAAGTTTCCTATAGTTAGTTCACTGGAATTCTGTAGCTTATATGTGTGCCGTCTAGTACCTCCTTTAAAGAAAATATAGTGTCCTTTTTGTCTGCATGTATTTATATGTGTGTGTATATATCTGTAGGCATATTGATTTTTTGTTCGCATCATGAAATAAATAGTATGCTGTTTAACCAGTACAATGAAAGGAAATGCTAAGCAGTAGACTATTCATCCATACTGATGAATTTGAGAACTTCTACCTATTTTGATATTCTTACAGTATGATCAGATGTATATACTATGAAAAGCAGCATAGCATAGTGATTATGACCACAGAATTTGAAAGTGTTAATAGATCATTTGGTTTGCATTTGGCTCCATTACTCATACATGAGTCTGGTCAAGTGTTGGGGAGCAAGAGAATGAGAACATGTAAGAGAACGTACATAGAAAAAACATAAGATACATATTTAGGTCAAATATGTATCAGATCATCATGTAAGTCATGATGCCTTTTTGTATCAAAAAACATTGAAAAATACATAAAAAATGCATCATGACTTTCCCAATGAACCTAATATTTGTAGCAGAATATCAGAGTCATAAGCTGTTAAAAATTGTGAAAAATTTATAGTTAAAAGTCTTTAGCTTTTTTTTTTTTTTTGAGAAGTTTTTGCTATAGGGCGTGTGCACTCGCCAGAAAGACAGAGAGAGACAGAAAGCGAGAAATCACCCCCCGGGGGGATGGCCACGCCACAGTCCCTTCTCCTCCATTCTCCTCTTAGGATCTTGGGCAGGCACACATATGTGCGTGGTGTGAGTTTAAGCCACTGGGTCCGGGACTCGAACTGTGGTCGACTACCTGGGAGTCCAGCAACATAGCCATTACGCCAGCTCCTGGTCCCCCCAAAAGTCTTTAGCTTTTAATTTTTTTATTCTAATTTTTTTTTTTTTTCTTTTGAGAGGTTTTTGCTATGGGGCTTCTGCGCTTGCCAGAAAGACAGTGAGAGACAGAGAGATAGAAAGCAAGAAATCACCCCTAGGGGGGATGACCACACCACAATCCCTTCTCCATTCTCCTCTCAGGATTTTGGGCACGCATGCACATGCGCCTGGCTTAAATTTAAGCCACCAGGTCCGGGACTCAAACCGCAGTCAACTACATGGGAGTCCAGCGACAGCCATTACGCCAACTGCTGGTCCCTATTCTAATTTTTAATTGACATATAATAGTTGTACATATTTATAGGTGTGATTTTTATCATGAATGTAATGTGTAATGGTCTAATCAGAGCAATAAACATGTCCATCATCTCAAACATTTACCATTACTTCGTGTTGTGAATATTCAGAAATCTACCTATTTTGAATATACATAAAATTATTATCAACTGTAGTTGCTATACTCTGCTATAATACTCTATAACTCATTCCTTTTGTCTACGGGTAATTTTGTATCTGTTAACCAAGTTCTGTCTGTCTCCCTCACTCCCCTTCCCAACTTCTGGTGTCCACCGTTTCATACTGCCTCTGTGTGGTCAAATAAATGAGGATGTGTTGTATGTGTCTTTCAGTGCCTGGCTTATTGCGCTTAGCATAATTTCCTCTAGGCTCATTCATGTTATCACAGATGACAGCATTTTATCCTTTTCTTTTTGGCTGAATAATATTCCATTATACATACATGCCACATTTTATTTATCCGTTCATCCATTGATGGATGCTAAGGCTAATTCCATATCTTAGCTGTTGTGCTGCAGTAAACATGGAGTGCAGATATCTCTTTCACATTCTGATTTTCCTTTCCTTTGGGTGTATATCCAACAGTAGGATTACTGGATTATAAGGCAGTACTATTTTTAGTTTTTTAAGTAACTGCCATAGTGGCTAAACTAGTCTACATGCCCACTGACAGTGCACAAGAGTTCCCCTTACTAAATCCTTGTTAATAGTTATTCCCTCCCCCCTTTTTTTGATAATAGGCAGTCTAAACTGGAATGAGGTGATACTGCATTGTGATTTTGGTTCACATTTCCCTGCTGATTAGTGGTGTTGAGCACTTTTCATATGCTTGTTAGCCATTTGTATGTTATTTTTGAGAACTATCCAGATTAATTGCCCATTTAAAAAGATGGATTGTGGTTTTGTTTTTGTTGGTGAGTTGAATTCCTTATATATTCTGGTTATTAATCCTTTGTCACATGTATAGTTTATAAATATTTTCTCCTATAAGTTGTCTGTTTCTTTTGCTATGCAGAAGATTTTTAGTTTGATATAATCCCATTTGTCTATTTCTGCATTCAAAGGTGGTATCCAAAAACACTAGTGATGACTACAGATATGGGTGGAGGGTAACGGGGTTTTTAGAGCCCTCTGGAAGTGAGGTGGCTGCCTGGAGAGTTCTTATTCTCTGAGAGAATTGTGTCTAGAGTCCTCTTTCTTGGGCGGGGTATCCAGAGTCCTCAGTGGGGTTGGGGGTGGGTTAGAGGCCTCAGTCTTTGGGGAGTATCTACACTGATTCCCCAGGTACTTGGGGTGTCTTTCTGCTGTGGTGTCTGCTGTTCTCAGGATGCTGTTCAGGCTCAGGTGCTGGGGTCACTGCTGCTTTACTGGCCTGGATTGCTGGTCTGACTCTGCCGTTTTTGTGTGAGAAAGATGGGCCAACAGCAGGCCTCAGGTATGTCCCAGTACAGGATTCACTGACACCTCTCCTGAACCCAGGGTAGGGGGCACTTTATCTGTGGCTCTGCTCCCCACATGGTGCGGTGCTGTGCTGTGGGAGCTTGGGTCCCAAGAGGCAAGGAGGATCCAGCATATGTTACTTTTGTGGTTTGTGCATCTGTGTGTCAGCTCTACACTGAGCTCCAGATCTTTGATGCCTAGGAGGCTCTCCTGTGGCCAAGGGACAGAATTTAGCTTGAGTCTGTACTAGCCTGTCTGGTATTTTGTCTCCCTTTCTCCCCGAGTCTCCATGCTCAGAGTCTTGTCATTACTTCTTTGCTGTATTCTGGTGTTCCCTCCTCGCTCCTGTGTTTGAGGATAGCTCTTTATCTGATACTTTTTTTTTTTTTTTTTTTTTGCAATAGGGAGTGTGCGCTCACCAGACAGAGAGAGACAGAGAGACAGAAAGTGAGAAATCACCCCCCAGGAGGGATGGCCACGCTGCAATCCCTTCTCCATTCTCCTCTTGGGATCTTGGGCGCACACGCACACGCGCCTGGCGTGAGTTTTAAGCCACCAGGTCTGGGATGCGAACCATGATCAACTACATGGGAGTCCGGCGACATAGCCATTACACTAACTGCTGGTCCCTCTCTGATGCTTTGATCCGTCTCCATAAAGAGGATGAGTGTCTTTACTTGATCATCTTTTTCCTGTCTCCAAGAAAGTAAACTAATCACCATGTTCTAAGAGTTCTTTGGGTACCTTTTAGCTTCAGCCTGATAGAACTTCAACCAAGCTCTGTCAGGGACTTCTGAAATTAGCTACTCGATGCCTTCCTTAACTAGCACCCAGCTTTTAATTTCTAAAAATTAATTCTAAAGAATGCCAGCCAATGATTAACTCAAAAGATTGGCATTTATATTAGCTGGGGTCTAGGAAAAAAATTAACAACAGTACTTCGTATTTCAGAGAGGATTGAATACAAACTACTGATAATACTAGTGTTTTAACTAACTATTCTTACATTAGCAGATTAGTCCCAAACTTATTTTCAAACAATACCACTTATTGTCTCAGAGTTTCTGTGGGTCAGAAAGTTGGGAGCATTTAGCTGGATTGGTTCTGGCACTGTAGCCATCTGAAGATGTTAAAGCCCAGAGGACCCACTTCCAAGATGGCTCATTCCCATAGCTATGGCCAGAAGACTCAGGTTCTCACCGTGTGGGTCTACCCACAGGGCCACTTGTGTGTCCTTGTGACTGGGAGCTGCCTCCCTGACTCTTCTTCCAGCATATGATCCAAGGGAATAGGGACAAAGACACAGTAACCTTTTGTGTTCTTATCACATAGTTTCTGCCACACCTTTTTTTTTTTTTTTTTAATGTAGAGGTTTTTGCTATAGGGCACATGCACTCGCCAGACAGAGAGAGACAGAGAGATAGAAAGCGAGAAATCACCCCCCAGAGGGGATGGCCATGTCGCAATCCCTTCTCCTCCATTCTCCTCTTGGAATCTTGGGCACGCATGCACATGTGCCCGGCGTGAATTTTTAGCCACCGGGTCCGGGACTCGAACCACGGTCAACTACGTGGGAGTCCAGCGACATAGGCATTACGCTAACTGCTGGTCCCCCACACTTTCTTAGAAATGAGTCACTTGAGTCCAACACATAAAGGAAGGGAGATTAAGATCTACTTCCTAGGGGCTGGCAGGTGGTGTGGTGGTTAAGGGCGCTGGGCTCCCACATGGCCGATCGTAGTTTGAGTCCTGAAACTGGAGGCTTGCTTTCTCACTTTCTCACTTGCTCTCTTTGGAAATATTAATATAATAATAAATCAAGTTAACATTCTTCTTAAAAAACATCTAAAGGGAGATGAATCAATTTGTTGACATTTCTCAAATTAAGATCTACTTCCGGAAGGGGAAGTATCAATTAGTCGACATTTTGTTGATCTCACAACTCCTGTTGGGAAGCTGCAAGAGCAAAGGGGTGGGTGCAGAGTTAACTGGGAAATATTTGACAGCCAGTGCTGACGTAGTAACCTGAACCCAGGAGCTTGGAAGACTTCTGATGCTTGGACTGCTGAGAGGAGAGTGCCTGGGATTGGTTTGCTTCTTAATCTGTGAACTAGGAAAAACTATAGAGAAAACAGGAAAAATGTTTTTAAGGACAGAGTGATCCATAGTGTCATATAAAGCTGAGAAGTCGAGTACTAAAAAGTATCCAGTGGAATTGAAATAGAGTGTAACTTGTCTTTGTAAAAATGGTTACACTGAAATGATGAGGGAGGAGGTCTGATGGTAGAGAATGGAGTGTTGAAAAAACTGACTGGTAGTTTCTTATACACCCTTTCACCCAATCCCCTACACACACACACACACACACACACAGTTGAATATGCAAGGCTGAGACTTGTCTTCCAATAGCCCTACCTGCTTTATACGCAAGAAACCTATTTTAATATTTGAATTCTTTAAGTCACAATTGAGAAGATCCATATAGCTACTATGGTTTCTGCTGGGAATAACCAATTTTTGAGAGATTTTTGTTATAGAGTTTGTGTGCTTGTTGGAGAGACAGAGAGACAGAAAATGAGAAATCACCTTTACGCTGGGCGTCGGGGGCAGGGGGGGTGGGGGATGGCTATAGCACAATCCCTCCTCTAGTCTCCTCTCGGGATTTTAGGCACACACGCACACACACCTGGTGTGTTTTAAGACACTGGGTCTGGGACTCGAACTGCGGTCAACTATGTGGGAGTCCAGTGACATAGCCATTACACCATCTACTGGTCCCAAGAATAACCAATTTTGACTATTGGGTCAACTGTAGAGTTGGGAAGCCTAGGATACTAACTCTGCTCAATACTGGCATTCTGTAGCAGATGAACATTTTAAGGGGGAAAACAAAACAACAAACAGAAGCCAAACCTCACGATGCCAGCAGGACTTTGAATGTGTTAGATA